CTACAGCCTCAGTCCTGGGTCTACAGCCTCAGTCCTGGGTCTACAGCCTCAGTCCTGGGTCTACAGCCTCAGTCCTGGGTCTACAGTCTGAGTCCTGGGTCTACAGCCTCAGTCCTGGGTCTACAGCCTCAGTCCTGGGTCTACAGCCTCAGTCCTGGGTCTACAGTCTGAGTCCTGGGTCTACAGCCTCAGTCCTGGGTCTACAGCCTCAGTCCTGGGTCTACAGCCTCAGTCCTGGGTCTACAGCCTCAGTCCTGGGTCTACAGCCTCAGTCCTGGGTCTACAGTCTGAGTCCTGGGTCTACAGCCTCAGTCCTGGGTCTACAGCCTCAGTCCTGGGTCTAAAGCCTCAGTCCTGGGTCTACAGCCTCAGTCCTGGGTCTACAGCCTCAGTCCTGGGTCTACAGCCTCACAGGACCTGTGCTAGTCAGAACACACACGCCCTGATCCTGAAAACACATTTTGAGTCCAATCATTTTAGGGGAAAACCACTTTTTAGAAGCTTTTCACAAAATTATAATCTATAATTTAACTAAACCGTTCAGAATGTTTCAACAGAGCAGTTTTATACACTTATAACATGCTTTGATTTCAATAATGCATTTATAAAGTAGAAATTTGAGACCTAGACACAGTCAAAACTCAAGCTAATCATTTTGTTTTTTATGGCTAGTGTAAAAGTGCTGTTTTCTGCACATCTTTACTGTTGTATAATCTGAGATAATCCAGAAAATAACTATTTATCCAACTGCTTTTCCAAACTCCCACTGACACCAACGCTCTCCTCAGACCCACTGTACTTTGTCACCTCTGGTTAATAATTGCAGTTGTGTTGCTGTGTTTGTGTGTGTCCTCTGCCCAGATAAAACCTGCAGTGATGTAAGAACAGAGCAATCAATGTCTTTGAACCGGAAACGTTTGGGACCAGAGCCCACGGGCCAGAGCCCGCGGGCCAGAGCCCTCGGACCAGAGCCCTCGGGCCAGAGCCCGCGGGCCAGAGCCCACGGACCAGAGCTGCACGTCTCCTGGCACTGGGTTATTGACGACCGTGTTAATGTTGGACCAAAGCAGCTGACCCCGTCCAGGAAATACCACTGTTTATGGGTCAGTCATTTTAATTTCAATTCTGAAAAAGTGATTTTAATTTTAAGTTACTAATGGATTTATGCTGTAGCGTTTAGTTTGAGACATGTTTATAAATCAGAAAGCAAGACAAAAGTTCTATTACTAAATTTTGATATTTGTGGAATCTTGTTATTGATCGTAACTGAATAACTTTAGAACGCAAAAGCAAAGGTAAAAATGAACCCTAAACTGTACCTGTGTGTAGTGTGTACCTGTGTGTGTACCTGTGTGTGTACCTGTGTGTACCTGTGTGTACCTGTATGCGGGACTCGGGCAGCCCTGTGTGTGTACCTGTGTGTGTACCTGTGTGCAGTGTGTACCTGTGTGTGTACCTGTGTGCAGTATGTACCTGTGTGTGTACCTGTGTGTACCTGTGTGCAGTGTGTACCTGTGTGTGTACCTGTGTGTACCTGTGTGTAGTGTGTACCTGTGTGTACCTGTGTGTAGTGTGTACCTGTGTGTACCTGTGTGTAGTGTGTACCTGTGTGTAGTGCGTACCTGTGTGTAGTGTGTACCTGTGTGTAGTGTGTACCTGTATTCGTGACTCGGGCAGCCCTGTGTGTGTACCTGTGTGTAGTGCGTACCTGTGTGTAGTGCGTACCTGTATTCGTGACTCGGGCAGGCCTGTGTGTGTACCTGTGTGTAGTGCGTACCTGTGTGTAGTGTGTACCTGTGTGTAGTGCGTACCTGTGTGTAGTGTGTACCTGTGTGTAGTGCGTACCTGTGTGTAGTGTGTACCTGTGTGTAGTGTGTACCTGTGTGTAGTGTGTACCTGTGTGTAGTGCGTACCTGTATTTGTGACTCGGGCAGCCCTGTGTGTGTACCTGTGTGTAGTGCATACCTGTGTGTAGTGTGTACCTGTATTCGTGACTCGGGCAGGCCTGTGTGTGTACCTGTGTGTAGTGTGTACCTGTGTGTAGTGCGTACCTGTATTCGTGACTCGGGCAGGCCTGTGTGTGTACCTGTGTGTAGTGCGTACCTGTGTGTAGTGCGTACCTGTGTGTAGTGTGTACCTGTGTGTAGTGCGTACCTGTGTGTAGTGCGTACCTGTATTCGTGACTCGGGCAGCCCTGTGTGTGTACCTGTGTGTAGTGTGTACCTGTGTGTAGTGCGTACCTGTATTCGTGACTCGGGCAGCCCTGTGTGTGTACCTGTGTGTAGTGCGTACCTGTGTGTAGTGTGTACCTGTGTGTAGTGCGTACCTGTGTGTAGTGCGTACCTGTATTCGTGACTCGGGCAGCCCTGTGTGTGTACCTGTGTGTAGTGCGTACCTGTGTGTAGTGTGTACCTGTGTGTAGTGCGTACCTGTGTGTAGTGCGTACCTGTATTCGTGACTCGGGCAGCCCTGTGTGTGTACCTGTGTGTAGTGTGTACCTGTGTGTAGTGTGTACCTGTATTCGTGACTCGGGCAGCCCTGTGTGTGTACCTGTGTGTAGTGTGTACCTGTGTGTAGTGTGTACCTGTATTCGTGACTCGGGCAGGCCTGTGTGTGTACCTGTGTGTAGTGTGTACCTGTATTCGTGACTCGGGCAGCCCTGTGTGTGTACCTGTGTGTAGTGTGTACCTGTGTGTAGTGTGTACCTGTATTCGTGATTCGGGCAGCCCTGTGTGTGTACCTGTGTGTAGTGCGTACCTGTATTCGTGACTCGGGCAGCCCTGTGTGTGTACCTGTGTGTAGTGCGTACCTGTATTCGTGACTCGGGCAGCCCTGTGTGTGTACCTGTGTGTAGTGCGTACCTGTATTCGTGACTCGGGCAGCCCTGTGTGTGTACCTGTGTGTAGTGTGTACCTGTGTGTAGTGCGTACCTGTATTTGTGACTCGGGCAGCCCTGTGTGTGTACCTGTGTGTAGTGCGTACCTGTGTGTAGTGTGTACCTGTGTGTAGTGCGTACCTGTGTGTAGTGCGTACCTGTATTCGTGACTCGGGCAGCCCTGTGTGTGTACCTGTGTGTAGTGCGTACCTGTGTGTAGTGTGTACCTGTGTGTAGTGCGTACCTGTGTGTAGTGCGTACCTGTATTCGTGACTCGGGCAGCCCTGTGTGTGTACCTGTGTGTAGTGTGTACCTGTGTGTAGTGTGTACCTGTATTCGTGACTCGGGCAGCCCTGTGTGTGTACCTGTGTGTAGTGTGTACCTGTGTGTAGTGTGTACCTGTATTCGTGACTCGGGCAGGCCTGTGTGTGTACCTGTGTGTAGTGTGTACCTGTATTCGTGACTCGGGCAGCCCTGTGTGTGTACCTGTGTGTAGTGTGTACCTGTGTGTAGTGTGTACCTGTATTCGTGACTCGGGCAGCCCTGTGTGTGTACCTGTGTGTAGTGCGTACCTGTATTCGTGACTCGGGCAGCCCTGTGTGTGTACCTGTGTGTAGTGCGTACCTGTATTCGTGACTCGGGCAGCCCTGTGTGTGTACCTGTGTGTAGTGCGTACCTGTATTCGTGACTCGGGCAGCCCTGTGTGTGTACCTGTGTGTAGTGCGTACCTGTATTCGTGACTCGGGCAGCCCTGTGTGTGTACCTGTGTGTAGTGCGTACCTGTATTCGTGACTCGGGCAGCCCTGTGTGTGTACCTGTGTGTAGTGCGTACCTGTATTCGTGACTCGGGCAGCCCTGTGTGTGTACCTGTGTGTAGTGTGTACCTGTATTCGTGACTCGGGCAGGCCTGTGTGTGTACCTGTGTGTAGTGTGTACCTGTATTCGTGACTCGGGCAGCCCTGTGTGTGTACCTGTGTGTAGTGTGTACCTGTGTGTAGTGTGTACCTGTATTCGTGACTCGGGCAGCCCTGTGTGTGTACCTGTGTGTAGTGCGTACCTGTATTCGTGACTCGGGCAGCCCTGTGTGTGTACCTGTGTGTAGTGCGTACCTGTATTCGTGACTCGGGCAGCCCTGTGTGTGTACCTGTGTGTAGTGCGTACCTGTATTCGTGACTCGGGCAGCCCTGTGTGTGTACCGTGTGTAGTGCGTACCTGTATTCGTGACTCGGGCAGCCCTGTGTGTGTACCTGTGTGTAGTGCGTACCTGTATTCGTGACTCGGGCAGCCCTGTGCTCTGGGAGAGGCTCTCCCGGAGGCTGATCCCTGGGTACGGATCGGTCTTGAACGTGGCCTTGAGCAGCTCCACATGGTCTTTGGAGAAACTGGTCCTTTTCCTGCGACTGGTGTTTCGAGGCGAGGCGCTGTGGGAGCCCGAGGACCGGGAGGAGTCTGAGGAGAGGAGGAGAGGGTCGTTATGGTCACTACAGACACACAACTGAGAGATGAGGAGAGGGTCGTTATGGTCACTACAGACACACAACTGAGAGAGGAGGAGAGGGTCGTTATGGTCACTACAGACACACAACTGAGAGAGGAGGAGAGGGTCGTTATGGTCACTACAGACACACAACTGAGAGAGGAGGAGAGGGTCGTTATGGTCACTACAGACACACAACTGAGAGAGGAGGAGAGGGTTGTTATGGTCACTACAGACACACAACTGAGAGAGGAGGAGAGGGTCGTTATGGTCACTACAGACACACAACTGAGAGAGGAGGAGAGGGTCGTTATGGTCACTACAGACACACAACTGAGAGAGGAGGAGAGGGTCGTTATGGTCACTACAGACACACAACTGAGAGAGGAGGAGAGGGTCATTATGGTCACTACAGACACACAACTGAGAGAGGAGGAGAGGGTCATTATGGTCACTACAGACACACAACTGAGAGAGGAGGAGAGGGTTGTTATGGTCACTACAGACACACAACTGAGAGAGGAGGAGAGGGTTGTTATGGTCACTACAGACACACAACTGAGAGAGGAGGAGAGGGTCGTTATGGTCACTACAGACACACAACTGAGAGAGGAGGAGAGGGTCGTTATGGTCACTACAGACACACAACTGAGAGAGGAGGAGAGGGTTGTTATGGTCACTACAGACACACAACTGAGAGAGGAGGAGAGGGTCGTTATGGTCACTACAGACACACAACTGAGAGAGGAGGAGAGGGTTGTTATGGTCACTACAGACACACAACTGAGAGAGGAGGAGAGGGTCATTATGGTCACTACAGACACACAACTGAGAGAGGAGGAGAGGGTCATTATGGTCACTACAGACACACAAACTAACATTCTTTTTTTAAATGTATGTGTGTGTGTGTGTGTGTGTGTGTGTGTGTAGTAATACTCACAACAGTACAATATTGTGAGATGTTTTGGCAGAAAGTGTTATTTTTGATGATTCTATAAAAGACCTTGGAGCATCACAAAATCTTTGTGTGTTTGATTTTCTGATCTGTTTTTGTGAAATCAACAACTTTGTGAAGTCCTCGAGTCGACTGCTGTTGGGATTTAGGGCGATACAAAAATAAAGTCAAATTGTGTTTTTCTGCTAAAGTCTGTTCTAAATATGAGAATAATCTGAATAAGGTAAAATGGAGACATCTGATTTTCTACAGATTAAATAATCCCTCGTTACAATCGTCACGTGACTTTGAAACACATAAAGTGAATAAAACATGTGTAATTATTGTGTAACTAATATAAGAATGCTTCTTACAGCACAAACACATGAAAGGATAAAGTAAGATTATTTTTACTGCCTTCACAGGATTTGTCAATGGAAGAAACTATTTTAAGATAATCTGGACATAATCTAGAACTGTTCCATTCACACATTCTGTTTTCACACTGGGAACAGGAGGAAATATGAACTTCTGTCATTATTTTTATCTTACACACATGAAAACACTGGCCTCACACTGATCTAAATGTGGATTAACATTACAGCAGGATGTGGCACCACAGATTGGGAACCACAGCGATCCCAGTGCAGGAAAAACACACATCAGACTAATCAACAAAAGGATCACATTCAACTTTTTAAAATTAAGAAATAGAATAAATCATTTCCCCGTTCTCTGACCTACGAACCACAGTCCTTTACACCGAGGCCATTTGTACCTATAATATCTGGGCTACAGGGACATTTTTACGAAAACCCAAAACATCAAATCTTTAAGTTGAGTTTTTGAACCTTCTGTGGGAATGTGTGAACTCACCGGAGCAGGCGTCCTTCCACATGTTGCTCTGAGTAAACTCCAGGAGATAAGATGTTTGTGTGACCCATGGCTCAGTGTGGGACCCTCTTATAGACCTCACCTGAGCTCCCAGAAGCCCCAGGGATGATGTCGGCCTGGGGGGGGTCTCAGGGGGGTCTGAGGGGGGGGTCGTTATCACCTCATGAGCATCAAACAGCACAAGGTCAAAGTGGGCCATCGAAACCAAAGTTATTATGATCGAGGCATGTGACAGTGACGTGCACTAATGATCAATGCTAATAACAAACTAATAAGATGTATATTAAACAACTTTAGAACTCAGAGCAGTCCGTTTGACGACTCCCTCTCAAGTGAATGGGATTGTGGGTAAACAACTACTGTTCTGTGAAAATGTGTAGGTTTCTTTGATAAATCCTGTTAACCCCAGGCTAACACTGGTCCATATGAAATGAACAGAGCCACACTTGTTTATGCTAACTGCTGCAGGTAAACAGTGCGTTGCTATGGTAACGATAGCATTGTTCTGAGCCAGTCCAGGATCAAGATCATTTTATAAACTTAGTATCATAGGAATAAACTACATAAAGACACAGAAAGAGTCACAAAGTTATGGAGAATGAAAAGTACAGAAGTGAGTAGTTCAAATGGACTGTTCTAGTTTAAAGCATCTGTGCGTAAGTTTGGAGGCAGAGGTCGCCTGAAGATTATGGACACGTGTTTCAGTCTATTCAATTCCATTTCTTTTTGTCTAGTTCTAAATTATAACAGCAGTTTCTGGAACTCTGACGATGTTGTCGATTCACCAACAACAGATCAGAGAATCAAACAGTTCAAACACTATTGGAACAACAAACACACAGAGACATTGGTCCATCAGGAGTGGGAAGACCGGTGTCCATAAATGTCCATAAATGTCCACAAATGTCCATATTTGTGCATATATGTGCATAAATGTCCCGATCGTGTCTGTATTAGAGCCTCCTGCATCTGTGAGAACGACTCATTCATTAAGCCCTTTTTGCCCTAAGTTTCACAAAGAGAACATTTTTCAGGTGTTAAACTGCGTGTCTGTAATTACATCTGTTTAGTTCATAATCACAAAGTGTCACAAAGATATGCAGAAATAATGCAATGTGTTTGAAATCTGTGGTGACGTGAAAGTAAATGAATAAATACAATCATAGTGTTTAATGCTCAGGGTTCATCACTCACAGATGAAGCTCATAAAAACACACACTTTCACACTTTTGTGCCAAACATAATAATCTGACCTCAGCGTTTACAATGACTTTAAGTTAAATCTTGATGTTTTTTGCTGAGATGCAGTTCCTAAACTCC